TTACAACTAAAGTGAATATTACATCCAAGATTCAGGGAGGTCAAATACAAGTTTCTCTTGCATTTTCAAGATTTGTGATAACTTACTCAAAAATTTCATTTCAATGATATACATGAATTTATGTGTTTATATGTGTGCTCTTGAGATTAGGCTATGATGTTTAACATTTACATGAAACATAATCTTATCGTTGTTTATGGTACTTTGGGGATATTTATTTTTATAATATAATGGGAGATGCAGTTCGGGCGACCTATGCTTTCACATGGTAATTGCTGAATCCATCGTCAACGGTGGAGAACCTGTGCATGTCTCTATTTTTTTTGTTTCTTTTAACAAGTTGAAGTGTTAAAGTGGATTGATCTTTACAAGTTAGTCAAAGTTGTAATCTTTTTTAGGCTTTTTTTTAAATTTTTTATTTATAGCATGACTTTGAATTTTGCATATTATGCTTAGTATAGAATGCTTATGAATGAAAAATGGTGCCAGATATCTAAATAATATTGTGTCAAGTGTTATGTATGTAATTACTCCATAAATTTAGTCATGTAATCAGTATTTATTTTTGGGGCATTTATATAAATACCACACAAATCTTATGTGTTTACTTACCTCACAACTATACTTTCATATACACGTATAGTGCTCATATGCTTATTATCACATAAAGAATTTATTAAGTTTTTGGTGCGTATGCTGAGGAATTAAATCTTTTAACAGCAGTATTAAATACTTGTATTTTTAAGCATATATAAAGTCGCTTTCACATAACAATGCGGGTAGCCGCAGCAGTTCGAAGACTCCTGCTCGAAGAAGGGCGGGGGATCGGGTAGCCGTGGCCCAGCCTCTCGCTCGATCGCTTCGTTTTGCTCCTCGCTACTGTTCGTTCGATCGCGTCATTTTCTGGATCTGGGAAGGTAGCAGCAGAACTGCAGCTTGCACAGTGTCGCAATCCTTCGAGTGACGTACCGCAATCCTTTGAGTGACATGTCGCTTGACCCCTGCTCTGTGGATCAAGAAGCAAAAGCTTCGGTGAGCTTGTCGTTGTTCATTTGCTCACTTCTCAACCACCGACTACTAAAGTTTTAAACCTTGTAAAGGCATCTTTTGTTGATATGTCCCTCAGGTTTACAATGAATCATTCGAAGGTCAGGAAGACTGCAACCTTATCAAGAAGACAGGTAGGAAGAGTGACAAACTGGCTCTATTCTTCTTTGATGTTGAAGTTTCCAACCTGGTTAACAAGTTCAAATTCACCCTCAGTGGGAAGTTCCAATCGGGACATCCCAAAATGGAAATCGTTCGAAAGGCTTATGAAGATCTCAAACTATTGGGACTTCGGAAGGTTAACCTCTATTATGGAAGACATGTGGTGATAATATTATCTAAAGTGGAAGACTACGCCAAAATATTTTTCAAAAAGTTTATGACAATCGAGGGAAAATATATGAAACTGCTTAAATGGTCTCCCGAATTTGACCCTAGTCAAGGATCACCTATAGTTCCAATTTGGTTTAAACTACCTAGCCTAAAGTTGCACTAATTCAACCACCAAGTCCTCTACTCTATTGGAGCTGCACTAGAGAGACCTATGAAATTGGATGCACCCACCTTCAATATAACCAAACCTTTGGTTGCAAGAATTCTTGTTGAAAGGATATTACCCTCCATGATGTGGATGAAATATGGCTTGCTATTGGCACAATGGGTATTGGCAGCCAATTATAGCAGAACAAAGACCCTACTACTGCAATCACGGTAAACTGATTGGGCACACCCCTGTCAAATGCTTCAGGCTTCACACACATTTGAGATCGGCAGGTCCTAACAATTATCATCCATGTGGAGGAAAATATGCCAGACACTGTTAATCTTCCACTAATGTTGAATGAGAATTTGACTCATAAGGTTACTCCTTACCAACCAAACCAGCAGCTTCCGCCTACTATTGTTGAGGCAGCTCTTCCCGCGCATGGGAAATCTAAGCAGATTGGAAATTCTACAAATTTTGTTGTAGTAGATGCTAGCCGAAGTGTCTTGGAACCACCTATTGCGAGAGAAGAGGGTATCAAGTGATGGAGTAGTGTCAGGATCAAGTAGTGTTGCAGGCTAAGTCAGATCAGCAGTTTACCTCCATCGAAGATCTACCTATTGTTCACGTTCACACGGGACTAGTTCACACGGGACTACATCTGACAGATGATTGACAGGTTTACAAATCTAGGAAGAAGAAGAAGTCAGATCTCAGTAACTTTCAGGATGACTTTATCATTGTTTCGGGCGGAAGCCCACATCTCAGTATGTTACTGGACTCCCTCCCTATATATATCTGTGTGTGGCTGTGTGGGTGTGTAATTTGCTTTATTTCAAAATCTCTAAATCTTCTCTATAACATCAATGTCTCCTTTTATGGCTACCCACCCGAGAGCAATTAGCTCTCTGTTTAGCTTCTAGAGCTTCACCCTCCTACAACTCTCAAAATAGAAGAGCTATAAGAAGTACAATGTAACAATGTAGGGAAATGAACGATGTTTTATAACTTAAGTGTCAATATAACTATACATATAACTATTGCATAATATAATATTACGTGCTGAAAGAGGAACTCCTGTTCTTACTACAGTATTTTAAATTTGTGTATAGTAATATATTAATTAAAAACTTCGATAAAGACTGTAATTGATAAACTAAAAAAATAACTAATATAATTACATTATTTAATATATAAAACTATAATTAAAAATGATCATATGAAAATGAAAATTTTTATAAAAGTAGTTTTGATTGTTTTCAGGAGGTGCGAAAAAGGAATATATTATATAAAAAAAAATTTCTTTTTTCCTTTTAGGTGTTATATAATGCCCTTCATTAAATCCTTATTTTATAATTTTTTTCTATCAACAAATTTGGCAGAACTATATTCTTTCTTTATCAAAATTTAAACTTTAGGAAATATACTTTTGTAGGTTTTTCTGACACCTATCAATTTGTTGAGAGCATTATCTCACTATATTATACCGTAAATCTATTAGTTTTCAGCTAATTGTTTCTCTTTGTTCATGTGATTGTGCACAAGTTCTACCAAAGGTGTGAAATTTTTTCTTATTTTGAAGGAAAGCAATTGTATAGAAAATAGCTTGGTTTTGTACTGAAAAAGTTAGTCAATCGAGTTCTCCCACATTATTTTGTAGATAAAATATAACTTTCATCAATGTTGTAGAGGAGGCTCATATTTACAGAAGAATAGCGTATATTTTAATAGTGTCCTAATGTTATACTTGTTCTTAGATTGTTCGGTATTAGTCATATTTTCTGTAAATATGATTGTATATTTTTTTCATAGAATCGATGACTTGCATATTTGATTTTATTTGTGGCTGGCAAGTTTTATGTACATATTAGCAACTGTGAAATATTGTTCATATTTTAACATTTTTTTTTGCCTTGATCCATGAGAGGTTTGGGTAAGAGAAGCCAGGCATTAGTTAATTCACCAGCATAATAGCAGATAGATTTGCCAAACTATTCATATGCACTTTGATAATTAAAACACAATAGAATCTGAAGATGCACAACAACTCACAGAAAAAAAAGTATTTTCCGAGTCCTCATTTTATTGATGGTTTTCATTTCATTTGCCTCTCAATCACAATTCATCAACACGCTAAGTCCTCTTTTTTTCTTCCACTATTAAGTATGCCCTATTGGAATTCTTGTTCTTAGTCTGAAAAGATAAAAGAGTTGTATCAAAGAAAGAAGTTGGCTGGGGGGTGACGGGGAAACTGTTTTGGGTGTGCTGTGGGGTGTAACATATTTATGCTGTTACTCTTGTAACCATTGTTATCTTTCTGAATATGAGAATTTGCAATTCTTTTATCTATGCCATGTCGTCAGGCTAAAATGATCAAGGAAGTCATAGAAGATATGGGCTACCATGTTTATGAATTTCAAGATCAGAATATTTCAGTATGTTGCCTTCGAATTAAGGGAATGGCATGCACCAGCTGCTCTGAATCTGTTGAACGATCTTTGCTTGTTGTTGATGGAGTCAAAAAAGCTGTTGTTGGGCTTGCACTTGAAGAGGCAAAGGTTCACTTTGATCCCGACCTAACCAATCCAGATCGCTTAATAGAAGCCATTGAAGATGCTGGTTTTGGGGCAACTCTCATTAGCTCCGGGAATGACGCGAACAAACTGTATCTTAAAGTTGAAGGCATTCATTTGGAAAATAATTCTGTCCTGGTTCAATCATCGCTTGAAGCTGCTAAAGGTGTAAATCATGTAGAATTGGATGCACTAAAACAGAAAGTAACTGTTACATATGATCCAGATCTTACAGGTCCAAGATCAATTATGCAGTGCATTGAAGATGCCGGCCACAGCCCTGGTTTATTTCGTGTAAGCTTATATTCTCCTCCAAAACCTCGAGAAATGGAGCGACAACATCAGGTTCGAGTCTCTAGGAACCAGTTTCTTTGGAGTTGTCTGTTCTCTTTTCCTGTATTTGTATTCTCTATGGTGCTTCCTATGCTTCCTCCTTATGGGGATTGGTTAAATAGAAAGATACTCAATAATCTAACCATCGGAATGCTGCTGAGATGGTTCTTTTGTTCTCCTGTGCAGTTTGTAATTGGGTGGAGGTATTTTTCTTAAACTGAAGGTAGCTTGATTTAACTTGATTAATGAATTGTTTCTAGTACAGTTCACACCGAGATGGGTTTTCAAGTTTTTTTTTTCACACTTTTATTTTAAAGTAATTGTTTTTTCATAATTTTTTAATATTAATTAATTGATGCTTAATTTTGACTAGTACTGTAGTTTCTATACACTAATTTATATGATGCTGAGTCTAGATTCGATGTTTGACATAGACATCATATTTACTGTGATATTAGACAAATCTGCATTCCTTGCATTGACCAAGTTTTTTTCTTCTTAACTTTTTCTTTTTATGATATGGATTTAGGTTCTACCTTGGATCTTATCATGCATTGAGACAAGGTTCCTCTAACATGGATGTTCTGGTAGCGATGGGAACAAATACTGCTTACTTTTACTCTGTATATGTTGTGTTAAAATCACTAACATCGAAATCATTTGAAGGACAAGAATTTTTTGAAACTAGCACAATGTTAATATCTTTCATTCTTCTGGGTAAATATTTGGAGGTAATTGCAAAAGGGAAAACCTCAGCAGCCTTGGCAAATCTTGCAGACCTTGCTCCTGCAACAGCTTCTTTGGTAATCTTTGATGGAGGAGATAATGCCATTGCAGAGACTGAGATTAGTACTCAATTACTTCATAGAAATGATGTGATTAAGATCATTCCTGGAGCTAAAGTACCAGTTGATGGAATTGTCATTAGTGGTCAGAGTTATGTGAATGAGAGCATGATGACCGGAGAGGCAAGGCCTATTGTTAAAGGTGTTGGAGACAAGGTTTCATTCTAACTTTTTCTTGAGTTGTGTGGTTACTTGCCTTCCTCTCGTGCTAATTAATTTTTATTGTAAAACATTATATGCAGGTTATTGGTGGAACTGTGAATGGGAATGGATGCATACTAGTAAAGGCCACTCATGTGGGATCGGAGACTGCTTTGTGTCAAATGGTTCAGCTAGTGGAAGCGGCACAACTCTCAAAGGCACCTGTCCAGAAACTAGCCGACAAAATTTCTAGATTTTTCGTTCCTGCGGTATGTACATTGTTTTTTTTTTTTTTGTGTTTTGGCGTTTAGTTAAAAATTGTTGGTTCAAGTTTGGGTAGCATATTGGTCTTTAAATATGCTCCAGTATTATAATTAGAACTCAACATTTGAATGCAATTTCTTAATAGAAATCAAACTCTAAGGTTGGAATTGTAACCCTTTCTTTTTTTTTTTCCAAAATTCATTTACCTTATTCTGGTTTATAAAAGTTGAAGTTAACATCACATAGGAGACAATGGTTATTCCGCTCTAACTTCAGATTTTGTTGTAATAATTTTGCTTCATTTTCTATGTCATAAAACAAGTGCTGGAAATTATTGGTTATGATGAAGATGACAAAAAGATGTTCTTTCATTTTATTCAACTTTTTTCTTAAGCAGCATTGCCACCCTAGAGCTTATGAAGAGCAAATTATTCTCCACAGAGATTGTTTTTGGAGTGCTTGTTTCAGTTACCAACTAAGTGCCTAGTCTGTGAATTGAAATCCAATAGGTCTCAGATCACTAAAAATACTTGTGTTTTCTATTCTAAATTCTTTAATAGAGCTTTAATTTGCATCCTCAAAACCCTATGTAAATTACAATCTTAGATTGGATAAAGTTTCTTGCATACCGTTCAGAAATGCTACACATAATGTTATCTTTTTTGTTTGGTTTTACAGCTTCCAATGTATCATACATTATCATAGCAAATGACAGATGTACATGGTAATCTATTTTTAAATAAAACTCTATTCAGGTTATTGTGGTGGCATTACTTGCTTGGCTTGGCTGGTTCATTCCTGGGGTAGCCCATCTTTATCCAAGGACTTGGATCCCAGACGGAATGGATGAGTTTGAGTTGGCTCTACAGTTTGGAATATCCGTACTTGTGGTTGCTTGTCCATGTGCTCTGGGTCTGGCAACTCCAACTGCCGTGATGGTTGCCACTGGCAAAGGTGCTTCTCAAGGTGTCCTGATAAAGGGTGGAAGTGCTCTGGAGAAAGCACATAAGGCAGTACTCATTATTTGGAAAATTTCAGAGGCCTTCCTTTTAAATAGCTTATCAACATATTTTTTTTCTTACAGGTGAAAGCTATTTTATTTGATAAGACAGGAACACTGACTGTTGGAAAACCTACAGTGGTTCAAAGCATGCTCTTTTCGAGCTCATCTCTACAAGAAGTATGCGATTTAGCTGCTGCAGCAGAGGTGATCATCAATAATAAATTTTTTTAATGTGCTTTTTTGGGGTGTTTTGAAGGGTTTTCATATCTATTTTTTTAGTATGGACAACTTTGTGAGTGTGCATCCATATTCACCAGGGTCAGATTAATCAAATTATATTAAAAGTTTGAAACCGGATAAGAAAATCTTCTAGTTGTGAATCAACTCGAAAAACCTACAAGTTAGAATTTCTTATTATCGAAGTCAGGCAGAAAAATATTATCGAAGAGCTTGCCTTGATTCTCAATTCTAAGCTGTAGAACTTAGTAGTTTGGCCTGTGGTTGGCCAACGGGAAATCGGCCAATTAGGATTTGAAGTAGAAAGAGTTTCAATGTTTTGATGGAGTTGGATAATAAGCGTGTTTAGTGTTATGAGCAAAATTAGGTTCGGCTAACATAGGACATTCCAAAATGTGAGAAACCCTAATTTTGACTAGGAGGTAGCGTAGAAAATATACCAATTTTTCTGTCTTTAAACTTTGGTTATTGTTAACTCAATATATTTAGAAGTGTTCTAGTGAGTTTCATAACTTCTGGTGTTTTTAATTTTTTTTTGGAATTTAATAAAAATTGAGCAAGAGAAAATCTGTCATAGTTGATAACATAATAATTAAGATTTTGCCTTTGGAAAGTGAACCACACAAGGAAGAGATATGACCTCAGTATAGGAACAACTTTCTAATGAATGGCTGACCTTAAGATTGAAAACTTGTTGCTAACAGCAATTCATATGAAGACTATGCTTTGAAGTTCAACTTCAGCATACAACGTTCGTATTCTTAAGATTTTCGTGCGCATGCAAATCCAAAGTAAGAAACCTTAACTCCATTGAAACCAGAAATTAAAATATATCATGTTAAAAAAAAAGAGAATATTAAAGTATAACATTAGAGCCGTTATTTTCTTCCTTGAATATATTAAAGGTTAGAACTGCTTCAAGAGTCGTGTCCAGAGTTTGAAGATTATTTACACTAATAATATGAAAGCTCATCTTAAAGAAAGAAGACTAGAACATGGTGTCAAGCACAATTCTGTATGGGAGATTGCCTGATTTCAAATGTTGAAGAAGGATCTGACCCTATTACAAATTGAATCACTGTCAAATTCACTGAGGACTTACTTAACATGTTGACTTCTGACCTTAGCCAATTAGTTTCTCGGTGAATATCTTGAACGAAGTTTACATATAGCTCTGTAGAAGAATAAAGACTAACAAATTTCTTTTTTTTTTTTGATCGAGGCGACCTCCATTAATTCACCAAAAAACATCATGTCTGACAGCACTCTATTCAATCGACATACCAAAAAACATCATGTCTGACAGCACTCTATTCAATCGACATTAATGTATCTATTTCATCATTGAGGTTAGTCTTCTCAATTTTTAAGTTAAATTCTAAACTCATTGTCATATTTATTAATGAATCTATTTTTCTAGATATCTCTTAGTATCTTACTTTATTGATAACCATCTTTGATTTCTTTTTAGGCTACTTTATGGCTGAGATAGTTGCCTCATATTCCTCAAGTTCTTGAGGCTCAAATTATTTTTTGTCAAAAGCCACTCATCTCAATCATATTAGGCCATCTCCTAGACCTCATCATGTTTGTTCCCATAATTAATATATTCTCCTTCATCATTTACGACCTTGTTAGGCCCTATCACTATTCGAGTCAAGTGTTTGGCCTCAATAACATATTTATCATTCTTTTATTATTAAACTTTATTCTCACTAAATACTCTGCTAGACTATGGCTCTTTAAGAGTTTTCTCTTTGATAACATCAACAAGCATGCTATCTCTTGCATCTTCCACATCATTGAAAACTGTAGTTCTTATCATATCCACAGTTTTAGATAGCTAATTGACATTTTTTTATAGCTTCTTAGGTTGAATGATCTTAGGGAACTCTTGCCCACCATCATTTGAATTCATCGTAGGCACAAGTGATGCTACTTCCTTGGTTTGCTTTGAACTTAAAAAAAATCCTGTTCGATATGTATTGAAATATGCATTATCAAAGAATTTATTTATTTGAGTCTATGGAAATGGCTCCAATGTGTCTAATTCTCAACATTATTCTTTAACTAGAGGGGAAGTAATCTTGCCCTCAGTCACATGAGTGTCTTCCAAGGCATTCACTAATTTGGTGCACTTAGGCAACAATAGTCTTTTTACATTAACAGTTACTTGAAAATGACTTGCTTAATTGATAATCCTACTTCTTCTAGCTTTATTAGTTTTTTTTATGCTCACGTTTATTAGTGATGGTTTCCCCATTAGCGAAGAACCTTCAATAGCAAGAGGAGATTTTTGCTTAACACCCCTTTTGGTGAACTTATTTTAAAGCCCTTTGACAACAATCAAGTTTGGATCTCTACTGAACTATTTGATTTACTGACATTGAGCTCCAAGTAAGCATAAGAAGATAAGACAGTGATTAAGCTCAAAGAATAATGATCTAATGTAACTTTAATTCCTAAATTTATTAATATGGATGATGATATGTTTTATGTGTCAATAATTAGTGTATTTCATTAAATCAACATCCCATATCCATGCATAAAGACCATGCCAAATGTGGTGGGATTTTTTATGTTTTCATTAACTTTTCCTTTATTGCTTCTGATAATGAACAATAAAATCAAGTAGTAAACATTCATATTCTCATTGCTTAGGTTAATCAAGTCACACTGAAAATTTGAACGAGATTCTAGGAACCACTGATTGTGAATTATCCGTGGCTTGAATTGGCTGTAACTCGGAACTTGTCCACAAGTTGACTAGAAACATATCTCAAGAATGTTGTCAATGAGCAAACCATCACTTGTTCTTTGGCACTAAAGTACTGAACTCAGCTTTAAGACTCATGTTAGCCATTCATTGAGTATTATGACTTCAAGAGCTTGCCAGGGGTATTCACTTGTAGTACACAAATCATCCTTTTGCTTGGTGTCGCCTCCTTTTCAGTATGACTTGCTCGCTAGACTACTATCTATAAAGAGTCCACCACACTTTGTATAAATTGAGTTATGTTTTACCATTGACTTTTGTCTTATTTATAAATAGAGAGGCGATGGCTAAGCAAACATTGGTGAAATTATAGAATTAAAAAAATACCTGTAAATGAAATTGCTCTTTAAATGGCATAGTTTTAACTCTGTTTGATTTATGCTTCTCTATCGAAAAAGGTTCAATCTACTTTTCTGTACAATAATTGCATAAGTGACATGGGGAGATATAGCTTCTCTGTTCTTCTTGCTCCTTGGGCTTAATTCTTGTATGAAGTTCTTCGTTATAACCTTACAAATAAATGAAACCCAAATGTGAGTTTACCAAATAACTTATTTTCTTCTATTCTTACCGTTAAGATTTAAAGATAATGTTTTTATCTAACTGTTATAAAATTTAACTTCTCACCCTCTTAACTAACTCATATGAACTTATTACATGCCATCCTTAGCTTAACATCAAATTATGATACGTGCTGTCAATGTTCTGTGCAAATAGGCTTAATGCCTTTTTTCCTATGCTTTCATTCCAATAAATAATAATATGTAAAATCTCTTTTAGGCAACCTAATAAATATTCCTAATCTAAATAAGTAGAGAATATGTACAATTAAAAGAAATAAGTAAGAACAGAGAAATTCGGAAATAATTTTGATAAGGAAGCTCCTAATTATAGGAAACTCCTAATTCTAGTTATTCTTGATTGATATGCTCCCTCAAATTGATGTTGACTGATCAATAATCATCAATTTGTCAACAAGAAACTGATGATGCTGTTGAGAAAGAACCTTAATAAATATATCAACCGTCTCAAAAGATCATAAATTGTTCACCGTACGAGTTTCAATAGATCCCCAAATCTAAGAAACAATCCGAGCATCCTTTGCCTCCCATTGACCAAGATCTTTCGGCTCTGTAGGTACCGGAGAAGACCCATCAATATACCCCCAAAGCTCGTTCCCTTTCATAAACATCTTGAACTGAAATTCCCATGCAACATAATTCTTTTCCGTAAATCTAATAGCTAAGATTTTAGAAGACATTCTAAACAAAATTGTTGCTCACAAGTTAATTACCAAGAAAGCCAAGAGATCCGAAAAAATCTAAAGAAAACCAAAGACAACCAATAATTCGTGCAATGCCTTGAATTCGAACCGAGACCTAAGGAGAGGAATCTGAAGCTGAAGCCTACGGTCCTTGAGTGTGATGAAGAAGCCGAAGTGAAGCCGAAACCGACGATCCTTGAGTGGAAGCAGTTGAAGTCGGAGGAAGACTCGCTTGAAACAACGAAGGTGGAAGCAGCAGTCTAAGATGCCGCATAACACAGTCGACGAAGCGGGCAATGAAGCAGTTGGCTAGCGAAGACAACGATGGCGTTCGGATGAGGCCGAAGTGGATGAAGCAGACTTAGCGGAAGAAGCGGACTAAGCGGACGAAGCCTCTGCGCGCATCACTAGCACATCCTTCGGAAGCACGCCATCAACAACAGAAAGGAGGTAGGTGCAGAAACTACGAGTGATCTCGAAATCGCTAGCACAACAAATCGCATCCGACCTATGGAGTCCATCTAAACGGAGAGCCAGACCTGTGCGGTGCAACCTGTGACCCGATTGGAGGGTATGCTATCGGAATCGGGGAAAGGTAGGAGATCAGCGTCTAGAAGAGGAGAGGCTTAACGTGATCGATGGGCTGACCTGAATTCGTTGGAAAGAAGATGTTATTTTGACCCCCAATTAATAAACTAAGGTAAAAGGGCAATTTTGTAATGTGACACCGCCACCTACCACATCTCACCTACCGCCCACCTACCTCCCACCTACCCCACACCCACCCCCCCCCTTCT